AGCTGCTGGTCTGGTTTTGCAACAATACTAATACTCATGGGCCAAAGCGCATTGTCTCTGAAGGACCAAAGAAGAGGGTCATGTGGTTCATATTGACTCTGATTTTTGCAGGACTCGTATTCTGGCAGTGGGGGCTTGTCATTCAAACATACCTGTCCTATGGCGTCAGTGTTTCTCTCTCCATTGGCTTCAACACCATGGTGTTCCCTGCTGTGACCGTTTGCAACGTCAACCCCTTCAAGTGAGTAAAAGAACCAACACTGGTGTCTGAAATTTAAGTACCATAAATGATAAGAAAACTTCAATTTATGGATGAGCGAAAATCTTACCAAATCCATTTCATTGGTGATCCTAACAAAGTGCACACCAGGGGCGGACTGACCATTTAGAAACTCGGGCACTGCCCGAGGGCCCGGGGTCAGTAGGGGACCCCATGAGATGCCCCTGGTACCTTTTTCATAGGCATTTTTGAGTTTGGGCAAGGATGCAGGGGCCCCATAATCCCCTATCGCCCGGGGGCCCCATGAGTTGTCAGCCCGCCCCTGGTGCACACTATTGATATTCAGAAACCAACCGACATGTAGTTATCTAGTAAACATTTTTTGGACCCTTTGCAAACATACTAGAGAAAGCCAACCCTCTAGGATGGAGAATAAAAATAAATTAGATGACAAAGGGCGCTTGTTAGATGCAATTTCTCACCCCTGTGAGATGAAGAGCAAGGGGAAGGAAAGTTCTAGAAGATAAAGGGCTAGTTTGCTGCTTTCCGTAAGTTGTAATCAATTTAGCCAGGTGTAAGACTTATGGCATCCTCAAACTAGGAAGAAAATATATATTAAATAAAATGTATATAAAAGATCCAATTCACTTTTAGTGAACTTGTCCTTTAAGAAACCTCACCACCCCCCCTGCCATGTTCCAGCAATCTTCACTGCAAGGCCCTGCCCAGTGCCCAACAGCCTTATTTCTGAAAATGTGCTTTCAGGACCTCTTTTTAGTGATACAAATGCCATTCATTCCACCGGTGAGCTGTATTCGAGCCATTTCTACTTTTGTATAGTGAGCTGACAATAAAAAATCTAAGCAAGCAGATAAAAGCACAAAAAGATTCCTTGTCCATCAAAAAATGGTTGAGAAATCTAGCTATACAAGTCAATTTTTCTAGCAGAGTTCATACGAATGTTCTTTCCATGCTTTTTTGTATTCTGGCCATACAGGTAACAAAACAACTGTTCAATGAAAGAACTGTAGAAACAGATCACACTAAGAATAAATGGCTGTATTTGAAAATTCAACCAAATCATTTTTATCATTGTTGCGTTGAGTGATTGGGATTAAAAATAATTGACTCTAAGATTGGTGTTGTATCTGAACATGTATAGCCAGTAGGAAGGAGCAGAATGATGAACCCAATTTACAATGAAATTATTGATTTCCACTTTGCCAAAATTTAGTCGAACGTGCCCTTTAATTTTGTCATGTTATGAAATTAGCATAAAAAATGTCCCCCTGGAAGCTAGGAGAACACAGTATTTAATGGTCAGTCGCTGTGAGACATGGCTTTGCTGATTTAAAAAGCCATGTATACTGATGGATATATTTGTTTATCATCAAAGAAGTTATTGTTATCTATAGTATTATGTTTTACTGGAGGCCTGTGTCTTCAAATTCTGCCATTTACTGGTTATCTGACCATTCTGGATGTGTAATTAACTGCTCCTCCTGCTGCCTGCTGTCATTACAATAAATAAGATGAATAAATCACCTCTAATGTTGGGGGTCCTACATGTGTGGCTGTTGCTACGTTATACTGTATAAAGCTATTAGAATAGTTTTTAACATTTTAGAATGGGGTGCCCTTTTAAAATTTTGGACAGTCTAGAAGCACCCTATTTTAGAATGAGGTGACTCAAGACTGTCCATAATTTTAAAGGGTGCCTTGGGACTGTCCATAGATTTAAAGGGCACCTTGACTGAAAAAAGGTTGGGAAACACTGCTTTAGAGGACAATAACTGGTTACCCCTTTTTAATCATATCCATTTTTAGGGTAACACTTGCAATGCAAATTGAAAAACCTGACAGTTTCTATCCTCTTTCCTCTCTGTATAAAACTAAAAATGTTTTTTGATGGAGTTCCATTTTGTCTCATGGCACCATAAACAAACTGAATATATTATCATGTATTTTCATTACAGATATTCACGTGTTAAGCATCTCTTAAATGATTTGGATGAACTGGTTGACACTGCGTTGGATCGGATTCAGTTTTCCAGTCAGCAGGGTTCCAATATACCAGCTCCCAACAGCACAAATCAGAATGTGACCCTTGACCCCAGCCTATGGAACTACATGCCTTTAGTTGTCATTGATGAACATGATCCCAACCACCCAATTGTCTACAACATCTTTGACAGCAGCATAGATTATTCCCAGATCAATAATGCCACTAAAGGCAACCAGACCTTCTATGCCGAGAGATACAAAGTAGCCATACAACTGGTAAGAATATTTATTCATCATTCTTTGACACATTTTATTAATTCTCATTTAAAGCTGAATTTCAGGAACACAGCTAAGTACACCAATTAAATGCACGTATGGGGAATGTTTTAACTGTCAAAGAATTTGTATTTCTGCTCATCCAGTTCTTTGATTTATATAGCTCTGCCCCACAGCACAGTCCTGTCTGGTAGGACAGGAGACATGATTTTTCTCTGCTGCAGTTCAGCCAACACTTAAAGGTCGTGTCCCTCCCCCAGGCTTGGACTGGACGGTGAAAGGAGAAGCAGCACACTAATTAACACATCTCTCTGTCACTCTGCTCTCTCCTCTTACCAGTATTATAGGATACATCAAGAGACTAAAGCAGCTCTGTAACATCAGCCGAAAGTGAACTTTAGCCCACTGTCGGCTAATTCTGGGTCACAGGAGAGCACACGCAAGTGCACTCCTGTGCCCCACATGAGAAATATGGCCAGAAAAGCTTTGGCCATAGACCTCTTTTAACCGCTTCCAGTCCGCCCTATAGCAGAAGTACTGCTACAGGGTGGCACGGTTGCGCAAAATCACGTACAGTATATATTCATGATTTTGCATCTCCGTTAGGGGGAGCGCATGCCCTACCTGTGCTGCCATTCACGACCGCGGCTGTCAATCATCAGGTCCCGGGCAGTGATTGCTGAGCATCTCTGACGCGGGGGAGAACTGTTTGTAAACAAAACAGTTCTCTCCCCTGTCAGCTCCTGCACACTGCTTTGTATGGCCGTGCATAGCACAGCCATGCAAAGCAGTGCGCTTACAGTGAAGTACAAACACAAAGCCCCTAGTAAAACACACACAGCGCACAGTTTAACCCTTTGATCGCCCCAAATGTTAACCCCTTCCTGCCCAGTGTCATTAGTACAGTGTCTGTGCTTTTTGTTAGCACTGATCACTGTATTGGTGTCACTGGGGATGTCAGTGACACCAGGTCAGTTCCCCCCAGTGTCAGAATGCCCGCTATAAGTCACTGATTGCCGCCATTACTAGTAAAAAATAAAAACAAATTTAAAAATCCCAGTATATATACCACCATTTGTAAACACTATAAATTTCATGTAAACCTATTAATTTACACGTATTGGGATTTGTTTTAGCAAAGACTTGTAGCAGAATACATTTTGGCCTAAATTTATGACAAAATTAGTTTTTACTGGATATGCTTAGTAGCAAAAAGTAAAAAATATTGTTTTTTTTTTTCTAAAATTGTTGGGTTTTTTTTTATAGCACAAAAAACAAAAACCGCAAAGGCAATCAAATATCACTGAAAGAAATTTGTGATAAAAAAAAGGGCATACATTTAGTTTGGGTGCAGCATTGCATGACCACGCGCAATTATCAGTTAAAGTAATGGAGCGCTGTAACGCAAAAAATGGCCTGGTCAGGAAGGGGGGGGGGATCCTCTGGAGGGCAAGTGGTTGCTGTATTATTGTGTGTATTTTATATCTGCCTAGAGTTTTGCTTTAACAAGGAAGCCTTTCATCATTTGGCCTCATTGGCAATGAAGTGACAACAGTGTTTTTCCTATATTAAGCAAAACTTAATTTTAAAGCAATCCTAATTCAGAAACATTGCCTTGTTTCCACTTGACCTTGACCAGTCACCTTTAATGAAAACCTGCACTCATTCTACCCCTTGTCAGCTAAACGTAGAACTTTGGGCAGACACTTAAAATACACTTTTGAAATACAACAAAGTTTATTGTTTTACCTGCCAAAAGATTTCAAAGGCTGTATTAGCAATTATACCTTTCCAGTAAGAATGAATTGAGTTCAGACACAAACTGCACCCAGTTAACCCAAATGTCTAGGATCTGTCACATGATCGTTCCCTGACAGCCCAATGAGCTATGGGTGTTAGCTTTTTTTTCATCACTTAGGGGACAAAAAGTCCCCTATCTGATAATTTTTAGGTCACAGGTTCTCTTTACTAAGGCACACAGGGTCTAAAAGACCCTGCATGTCTCTGGGCTCTACTGGATGTATTGCAGTTCTAGCCGGGAAAATGACAGTGGTGACCTGTCAATCATGCAGGTAGGTAGGTGGTCTTTTTCCTGTTCCTTGGGGGCCCCTTCAGGATACCAATGGTCACACCTGGACACAGATCTCGGAAAGTGAATGCACTCAAGTCACCTCAGTTGCGATTGCAAACACTTCAGCTTTATTGGCATAACATCAGGATTTTTATACTGTAGCCTTTGGGCAGACACACCCTCAGACCATCCAATCCAATACATGTACATTATCTTTCCCTTACCTCAACAATTATTTGTATGATGTCTGCATTTACACTCAAGTTTCTGCCTTATCTGTCACACCATAGCTGGCCTAACGCCCAGACCATGGCTATAATCTGGCTCAATGCCCAAGCTGTGGTTACAACTTTTCAGAAATGGGAGTAAAAAATCTCCTTTTTTGTAAAGTTTGTAAAAACACATATTTCTACATGAAGCTGGCATAGACAGTTTTGTTAGTGTGTACAAATTTCCTATATATGTGTATGTTAACCATTAGCCGCCCGGCCTATAGCCGTTTGGCAGTGGCAAAAATGCTTCACCATTCCGGGTGCTCGCCATTTGGCGTGCTCCCGCACATGCGCAGTTAGCGCGATCTGTCACCGGCCGTGTACCTCGGACACGGCCGATGACAGATCTGAGTACCGGCCCCCGTTGCCGGTGCCATGTGACCTGCTGTGACCAATCACAGCAGGTCACATGACAGTTGTATACAATGGATGGCTTCATTCATGCCATCCATTGTATACTAGTGCCTAGCTTGTGAATGGTCACATCAGGTCACATGCACATGTCATGTGATTAGCTGTGGCCAAATCACAGCTAAGCACAAAAAAAAAAAAAACAAACAGAATGAATCGATTTCATTCAGGTAAATGCTTGCTTATAGCAAAGTAATTCTTTGCTATAAGCAAATTGTGTAAAAAAAAAAAAAAAAATACTGATCACTTCCCCAAAGTAGCATAATGTTACTATGGTAACATTGTACTACTTTAGCATAGTAAAATATGAAAAAAAATCTTAAAAAAAAAAAAAAAAAATGTAATAAAAAATTAAAAATAATAAAAAAAAAATATATATATATATTTTTTTTTCATACTGTCACCAGTCGGTGTCCCTGATCACCGCCATGCCAGTTATATGATGACGCTGTACTGCACTGGTGACAGTATGTAAAAAAAAAATAGTGAAAATTATTTTTTTAATTTTTTAATTTTCCGAAAAATTATGACAAAAAAAATACAACTTCAAAAAACTCGCCATGCCTCTTATGAAGTACGTCGGATCCGACTGTCTACTCTGCAAAAAGGGGTCATTTGGGGGATATCTGTACTGTTCTGACATTCTTGGACCTCAAGAAATTAGATTGGCTCTGAGTACTTCAAGATTGATCAATTTTCAGATCTATACCATAGTTTGTGAACTCTATAATTTTTCCTACAAACTAAAAAATACATCCTAATTTGGGTTATTTTCACCAAAGACATGTAGCAGAATACATCTCGGCCTAAATTTATGAAGAACAATTATTTATTTACAAAATTTTATAACAGACAAAGAAAAACGTGTTTTTTTTCAAAATTTTTGGTCTTTTTTTGTTAATTTAGCAAAAAATAAAAACCCCAGCGATGATTAAATACCACCAAAAGAAAGCTCTAGTTGTGTGAAGAAAATGATAAAATTTTAGTTTGGGTACAATGTTGTATGACCGCGCAATTGTCATTCAAAGTGTGAGAGCGCTGAAACCTGAAAACTGGCCTGGGCGGAAGGTGTAAAATTGCACGGTATTGAATTGGTTAAACAAGCATCTTGTATTAGTGTGTACAAAATGGATTTGGTTATTTTCCATTAATCCTTTCAATATGGGTCACAGCAAGAAAGGGAGGAGAGCAGGCATGTGTCTGATCTCCTCTCTCCTCTCCACCGGCCGATACTCACCATGTTGGCCCCGGCGGGAGCGTGCGTGAGATGGGGGCGCACAACCGGAGAGCTGTGGAAGCAAGTGGGAGACCACCCAACTGCTTCCACCTGACAGGCAGGAGTCTTCCTGTACGTTTTAGACACAATCTCGGTGGCTGCAACAACCACATGTGTAAACCCCCCCCCCCCCCCTCCGCTGTCAGGTCCATACGACATACAGACCTGGCAGTGAAAGGGTTAAAGGGGAGGGATCAATGAACTGTAAATTATAATAACTGTATAGATTTCTTTCAGTATATATCGTAAGTATTCTCATCAGTGAGTGTTAAGGGTTTAAAGGGTAACTCCACTTTCGTGGGAAAAAATAACAAATAAAAAAATATAGCATATAGAATTGCTAAACGTTCATATTGTAATTATTTATTTATATCCAGGTACTTATATAATGCCGTCAATTTACATATATATTGTACATTACATCAGTCACTAACCCTCAAGGGGCGTACAATCTAAGGTCCCGAATTTACATTCATACATACACATACTAGGGACAATTTAGACAGGAGCCAATTAACCAACCAGCATGTCTTTGGAGTGTAGGAGGAAACTGGAGTTCCCGGAGGAAACCTGTGCAAGCATAGGGAGAACATGCAAACTCCAGGCAGGTGGTGCTGTGATTGGGATTCGAATCAGCGACCCTAGTACTGCCAGGCAGAAGTGCTAACCATTTAGCCACTGTGCTGCTTATTTGTTTGTAATTAATTGTTATTAAAAATTACCTTTCCTTCTCAATCTACAGTGCTGTAATTTTCTGTAAAAATGCATTTCAACATGGCAACTGGAGGTGTTCTTTACACAGATGGTGTACAGAATGCCTGCCAGAAATGTCATTTCCTGCTTGTGTGATTGGCATGCGGGCTTTCCCAGAAGTATGCACTAAGATACAAGTCAGATTTTGGGCATCCCCTGCAACAAAAATGTAGTCTTTTGTGAGATACTCTGAAAGGAAAATCACATCTAAAGGGGA